ACACACACACACACACACACACACACACACACACACACACACACACACACACACACACACACACACACACACAGAGAGACTGGATGTCTAGTTGACAGTAGGATGAAGAATATGCACTACCTGTTTTCATCAAAGTCAAATTAAATTCTTTTGTAAACATTGAAATGTCTTTCACTCTTCACTCGACCCATTTTAATGAAAAGCAAAATGAGAGTTTAATATGTGACCCATTCCCTTGATACAATTATTTCCAGTATGACTTGAAATATTACAGTCTCAAATATACACTGTGTTCCAAATTTCAATTAAAAAACATTTGATTTTTTTGTTTTTCAATTAAAGTTTTCAATTGTGCTGCTTCCCATGTCTGTTTAGATCACTGACATCAATCTCAGACACGTTTGCCTTTATTAGTTTGCCAGGTGAGCCTTATTAATGGAAAACTACTTAAGGATGTTGTTCCACATTATTAAGCAAGTCACAGGTTTCATGCAATATGGGGGAAAAATATCTTTCTGCAGATGAAAAGCGTGAAATAGTACAGTATCTTTCAAGCCACTGGATATTTTACGAAATATTAAGAGAGATCATCGTCCTATGAAAGGATTTGTATCTGATTCAGAGCGCAGTAGGGTTTGTTCGTGTTAAGGAAAGTTTCTGTAAGGCTAATTCATCGTATTAAGCTGTGAAAAAGCCACTGATGAGTAGTAAAAAAGGTATTTGAAGCTGCTGGTGCCTCTGGAGTCCCAAGATCCTCTCGACGCAGGATCCTCCAGAGGCTTGCTGATGTGCATAAAGCTGTATTTCGGCCACCCTTAAACAATGCCCACAAGGACACATGATTGCAGTGGGCTCAGAAATACATGAAGACTAATTGTTTAACAGTTTTATTCACTGACGTATGCCGTGCTACACTGGATGGTCCAGATGGAAGGAGTTCTGGATGGCCACCATGTCCCAACAAGGCTGCGACGTCGGCAAGGAGGTGGTGGAGGGATGTTTTAGGCTGGAGTCATGGGAATTGAGTTGGTAGGTGTAGTTTAAGGTGCCTAAAGGTGTCAAAATGACCTCTGCAAAATATGTGGAGTTCCTTACTGCCCATTTCCTGCCATGGTATGAAAAGAAGAACCATGTCTTCCGGAGTAAAATCATTTTCATGTAAGACAACGTACCATCCCATGCTGCAACAAATACCATTGAGGCCTAGGCTGCTATGGGCATTAAGGGAGAAAGAATCACCGTGTGGCCACCATCATCTCCTGACCTCAACCCTATTGGAAACCTGTGGAGCATCCTTAAAAGGAAGCTCTAGGACGGTGGGCGGCAATTTACCTCAAAACAGCAGCTCTGGGAGGCAATTCTGGCATCCTCAAAGGAAATACAGGCAGAAACTGTAGAGAGAGTGTTGATGTGATATCAAAGAAGGGCTCCTATGTTAATATGTAACTCAATCTTTAAAGATGTTTTTGATTTAAATAGCTTTGATTTGAGAAAAATTATCCCCTCTAATGCAAAAAATACAACAGATTTCGGTTTTCAATCCTTTAGAAACGATTAAGTGTTTTGAAACTCTGTTTTGCATAATAATTTGGAACACTGCATTTTGAGTTATTTTGCAAAAAATGCCATTGTCATCATTGGTAATTGTGTTTAATAAAATCCAGATTACGATATAATCGTTGAGGAATAAAAAATCCTATTGACTGCCAATTATATCGGCTATTTTGTAAGAAAAAGAACATGCATAATAACTTGGAACACAGTGTATGAACCAAGCCTTTATCTGTATGAAGGATGATAGTCATCTGAAATGAAACACTTTAAGTACAGTACAAGCTTTTAAGGTGCTAAAGAAGGTCAGATGGATTTATTAGTTGTATAAAGTTGGAAGAATAAAAATGAAGTGTGGCCACAGTAAGAGAACATTTAAAATCCCATTCTTCTTGTTGAATGGAAGAAGACTAAAGCAATGGAGGAGTTTGAAAGAAATATGTCAGAGGGAAAAGACAGCTTTCCATGCAGAAGCAGATCAGACTATACTAAGGTAAGGAGGACAGAAATAGACAACAGGCAGGATATTATATGATGCTGCTAGAGAAGAATTTAGTCTAAAATGAAAGAACCAGAGAGACAGTAAGCTGAGATAAAAGGCAAGAAAAAGGCAGACAGGGATGAGAAGGAGGGGAACATTCCTTCCACATAAAAACGTTGAGCTTTTCTTTCCCTAAAATACAAACATATATATCTTGAAATTATGGCTCCCCTCTGGACCTTTCCCTCTGAGGAACTGTAAGTCAGAACAGACAGGAGCAGTCTGACGCAAACACTGTAAGGAGAAGCTCATGGACACATACGGTCAACACGATTTAGATCACATACTTATACGGTGAGCCAACAAAACTGGCGGGTAGGCTTGCTGTCAGCCATCTAAAATACTGTACATCCATGCAGTCCAAGAGCCAAGGCCAGCCCCCGCCTGGCTGTCCTGACACACAAGACTGTAGGGTATAAGAACCAGTAGGGGAATGAACCCCTTGTTTGGCTGGCTTTTCTGATCTGACACATATGACACCTTGCCCCTGGTGCTTTCCATTACATTGGTTATTCCATACAGTGTTTCTTTTATCCCACAGCTATAACTACATCAACAGCATGCTTGAGCAGGAGGGAGTCAAGGGCCCTTGAGCCGATTTCTGGCCCTCTGTAGAGTCTTTCTCCACTGTCGAGAGATAGAATAGCAAACAGCTACTGCAGATCTCAGAGTAAACTGTAATAAAATTACACTGGGATTATCGTAATAAGCTCTTGCTAAAAAACACACTTTTCAGAGAAGTGTAATGGTAAATGGTTACCCCCCGTTTACACAGGACATGTGCATTTTTCACTCATCTGTCTAACAGAACAGATACACTTGCCTTTTAACCACAGCAACTGTGCTCCACATATGTCGCTGCAATTCAAACCATCTTTTTAGGCCCTTAATCAATGTTTTTTCCTCTTACAAATGCACCGACATGATTATCCATTGGGCTGTGGGCACTGTCAATAGACTTGAGTGCACCGCAGTACGTTGCTGAACCAATTCTGTGTACACATTGATGGAGGACTACAGCTAACTGCTGTTGTGCTGCTTTCACTTCATGGCCAAGGTGAAAGCATAAAGAGTCAGGGAAACATTTTAAAATGTGTGTGTTTTATCACAGTGGAGCCATACATTTCTGTGGGCTCTTTGTCCTTGCATGACTGGCTAGAGAGCAGGAACAAGCTCATCTAAGCATTTAACAGGCTGGCCCTGTGGTGAGCGCAGACAGGAGGGGGCTGTGTCTGCCAAGCCTAATAGCAGGTCAGAGTTCACGCAGTCGCACACACACACAGCTGAACACAAATGTATCACTGTGGAAAAAAACTAATTTGGTGACTACACAGCAGACACAGGGCTCTTTCTCCAGTCTTCATTATCACCACAGATAAGCATCACACCTACCTAAAAGACCCAAATGGAGCAAAGACAGAAACATGATAGGAAGTCACAAAAGTGGCACAAATACACAAAAACACACACACAGAAATTAACCCTCCTGTGGCATATTTAGCACATAGAGAAACACACATGGTAATTTTAGCCCTCTGCTGTGGGTTGGGACTTTAATGTAAGCTTCAACAGGTATTCTGTTTAATGACCACAGAGGGGAACTCATGCACAAACATATCAGGAGAAACCCCCAACCCAAGTTTACCCATTTTACACACACACACACACACACACACAAAAACAACTTATACTGGGAGTGATGCTCTGGAACAAGCACAGCACTGCGGCTTGCAGTCTCCCACTCATTCATTCCCTCTCCCCTTCCGAGGGATCGGGTGGATTAATGATGGAGAAGAGCGTCGGACAACAAGAGAGTGGCGATTTCCCTCCAGTGCGCCAACTTGGCTCGGTCCAGCCTTGAGGACAGCCAGCTGGTCACACATCACATATTCACACGCATCACTGACAGGCTCAGTCTGTAAGGAAACACCATTCCACTCACACATACAAAGACTTACAACACAAAGAGACTCCACCCTTAGAACGGCCAACTAGTCACACATCACTGAAACGCTTACCAAATGGAAAGTCTCTCCATGTTCACATACGCACACAATGAGGACATATAGTTAAACTGGCAAATGTGTGCCGTTTCACAGCATTAGCTTTGCATTTGTCTCATGGTCTGTCATTACCTCCAGACTTCCATGACAGAGCGTGATGGGGAAAATGGGTGGTTTAAAGTTTCTTTAACGACAAACAGACTTTTGAGCTCTGTGTTTGTGCTTGTGTGCGTGTTTGTTTGTACATACTTGTGCATCGAAGTTTGAATCACACAGCAGTAGCTATGATACAAGCCGGATGGTAAGAGGAAAAATCGTGGCAGTAAAGAACATCAAAGTCATCATCAAGTCAAAACAAGAACAAACAGTACTGCAATAAAACCACACACGTGCACGAAACTCTAACTCATCAGCTTTTTCCTTGAAAAACTCATAAGGGATTCCTGTGTGATGTCATGCTGCAGAGCCAAAGAAAGAGGGGGGCATAAATATTTAAGGAAAGGACGGAGAAATATATCATTACTTTTTATTTCTCACTGATTCATGTGTTTGTTCCAGCTAAAAGGAACTTCAAGATGTTTCACAACAGAGCGGCAAATTCACGTTGAACATCCACGCTCTTCTACTCGATGAAGCAAGAAGACAGAGTACAAACTTAAAAGAAGCAACAGCTCCAGTGGAAACAAGCAGCCTATTGAAAGAAATACTGAGAGAAGACGGATGACAGACGATCAACAGACCAAAAATGTGAGAGGAAGTTTGTTTCCTAAAACTCAGAAGGTTTGTTTTTAGATTAACCTTTGGCCAGTAAACAGGCCATAAAGATAAGAAGCTGATAGTATGGCATTTTAGTGCATCCTTCAAAGATCAAACCTTCTGGTGGTCTGTGTGTGTGTGTCTTTTACCTAGGTATGGTATACAAGAGACCATGCTCTGGCTGCTTATGAAGTCTCTCAGACGTTTATAGTTGTCTTCTTTGGACATCAGGTAGTCGAGCCGATCAAACGTTGCCTTGTCCTTCCGACTTAGTAACTGTGCCGTAAGGAAGGAAAGAAAAAGAAAAAGGGAGAATGAGAAAAAAGAGAGTTTAACAGAACATCTATAATGGGTTAGCAACACATACAGGCTAGAAGAAATACAATGTAAAAGAGGTCGTCAAATAAAATGACTTCATTTAAGTCGCCTTCATTCGGCTGCATTTACTAATGAATGTAATCTGATATACACCAAAGGGCAATAACAAGTAACAGTAAAATACAGTACAGAAAGAGACTGAGAATCAGAAACGGAGCAGGGAAATGTATGTATTATTAGACTGATACAGGGCTGACTGTGAGACAAACCATCAATTTTGATTCAGAATTTCTAGTCAACCTTTCATAAAGTAGGAAAATAATCCCAGCAAATTCAGAGGGTGTGGTCAGTCAATTAACCATTCAAGACGTTGTTCAACCAATGAACACTTTTTAATGTTACAATTGTCAATGTAAGAACAAAATGCAGTTACGTTGCACAGAATAAAAACATTGCTCTCCGGCTGATTGCTTGTCTTAATGAACTGGCCACTCAAAAACCAGCAGCTTTCCAGGTAGAGAAAGACTGTTTGTTTGCACGCTTGTGTGTGTTTGTCCATTTGTCTGAGCTATGGATATGAAGCCTACTCCTACAAGAGGGCTACACTGCAGACTAGTTAACTTGTGGACTGAGGCAGCAGCAGTTTTAAAGCATCTGACCACAGTACAGCTGCTCTGCGGACATAGGAACTTTATAGGTTGTGATAATAGAATAAAGTACTAAAGATACCTGCAAAGATCAAGTGTGTGTGTGTATTTGTCTACTCGTCTGTCTTCTAAGAGGCAGGTGTGCCATGTCCTGGCAAGCAACAGCAATTACTGACTGGTAAAAAGAGAGTCTCATGTGGTTTTGTGGACCCGAATATAAGAAATTTCCACCATTACATCAGAGCATCATCATGTCATTATATAAACTCTACATGAAACAGACTGGTTGTCAATCCAAGTTTTTAAAATGGATACATCATGTCTTGAATATAAAGGTCTACAGTAGAATAATGTGTAACTGTTTCCGGCACACAAAATCCATCTCTCTGAAAGGTTTGTTAAATATGATCTTGTGAAATGTGGTAAATTTAAGATCCTCTTTATTTATTAGTTCTTTCTGAACTCTGCCATTCATCTTGTCATGTTACTTGTGTACAGGTTTGTATCAGCCTTTGTTTATGCGCCCAGTGTTTCGGTAGAGATCTGAGTGACATCCCAGCTTATTGACAGCACTCTACTAATAAACCAGACATGCTTGCCTTCAAAGGTAAATATACTCACCGCCCATGTTTTGGTAAGTCTGAAGATGGGAGCACTTTGTAACGAGGACACCACAGCCATGACTGCATGGAGGTTGTTCATGTCACACAGTTTCTATGAAGTACACAGAGCATATATTAAGTCAAGTTTACAATGCAAACATTCATAAGGATAGAACAACAATGTCATGTTGTGTGTGCATGTGTGTACCTTGGCAGTGCGAATGTACAGACTCAGCACCTCAGCTCTGATCTTCAACGTCTGAGCGTGGAGGATCTCTCGTACCACCCAGAAACTTGTCTACAAAAAAAAAAAACCCACACATGAACGGAGATTACGGCACCCAGCAACAGTCAAAAACTCACCCAAAAACATATCCAAGATACTGCAAAAACTGAGGACACAGAAAACTTTATCTCTCATTATGTTACATACTTCAAAGCACAAAGAAAATATCAGGTATGTACAAAGCAAGACAGGGAGTTTTCCCTTGTTAAATCGCCAGTCTTTGAGTCCAGAGCCAATGTCGGCAGACAGTCAGGACAACTCTGGGCTGAAACCAGTACAAAGCAGAGCAGGGGAGCACAGGGCAGACGGCTAACGCTCCATTAGAGTCGATTAAAAATTAGCTCTTGAGGAAAAACAAGAGCTGCAAAGGAAAATCCAACTGATTCCAACTGATTACACAACAGATACACACCATAACTCCTAATATGTCAACCCAGTGTGTATGTGTGTATACGTGTGTTCAGAGGACTTGGCCAGACCAAGAATGATGTTGGAAATCTGTCTCTTTAGGGAGAATGCTGGTAAGCCAAAGTTCTGATTACACATACACACATACAGAGACAAGTCAGTGAATCAATCAGTGTTTAAGCTCTGGGGAGAGAGAGAATGGAAAGAGGAAAGGGAGAAGAGTGAGGGAAGAGAGGAGGTAATGGGAGGGGAAGTTAGCTTCAACGCTGCAGGGCTGTGAGGGCTTTCAAAGCCCACAGCTGTCTGCACATTGTGTTCTGATAAGACCGTCCCAGGCAGATTGACCATCAACACAGACACACTTTTACTCTTTCAGTTCCTGAATTATTCTCTCACTTTGCTCTGTGGCCATTCTTCTCTCCTATTAGACTTGTGGTCAACTATTCTCCATTCAAGCCACAGACCACTGGGTGTGTCCTGCGTATGTCTATGAATTAAGTGTGTGTGTGTGTGTGTGTGTGTGTGTGTGTGTGTGTGTTTCTACATTCTTGATGTGCACAAATCCTAACCTACAACTAGCTTTGGCTACTGTTTCCTGGAAGCAGCCCCATGACTTGTTTTTGTTTCAAGGAAGAGATGAGGAGCTGAGGAGTGAAGAGATAAATTCATCCAGCTACTCGCTCTCTCCCGATCTTCTCTTATAAACAAGAGACATAGACACAGACACACACAGACACAGACAGACACACAGACACAGACAGACACAGACACAGACACACACACACCCACACGCACGCACGCACGCACACACGCCTTAAACTAGGTTCAATTGATGTAGGTACTGTATCTCCAGGAAACAAAGCCATGTGTGTTTAATTTTCTCCGTTTCATGAGGAGAGGTCTGTAAAGAAGATGAGGTAGTGAAAATGGGCAGACGATGCATAGATGGTGGACCCTGACTTCCCCAGGCTTCTACTTTCATTTGCATCTCTTTCCTTGAGGCAGCTCCAACTCTCAAGATAAAAAAAAAAACTCTTAAAAATTGTCATCTTCCCTCCACCTTCAGTTTACAGTAGACAGGAGTTTCCATTGACTGTAAAATGTGATTCCAACCTGGGAGCAAAACATGCTGCAGCTTCACATTTAGTTTCCTCAGTGGTCTAACTTGATATCTGAGGTCAATCTGGACATAGCATGTCTCTCCAAATCGCTATACCACTGGGGTTCATTACAGGGCCTGTGTCCTCGTCAGTCTTGGCCTCCAAAACTGCACAGCGATGAGATCACTCAGAATGGCAGTGCTCTACATAAGTGCAATCATAAGTGCATGTATGTGAGACAGAGTCAGGGTTTTGGGTAGGGGTGGTTGTGCAGACAAAGTCCTGTCTCTACAGATCTCATATTACAGCCTGAAGTGAAGATCATGTCTTCGGGGCTGCGTTTATGTGGGTATCAAGACCTCCAGATGGAGCTGCGAGGCCCCAGTGCTTCAATAACCATAAATAAGCGGAAGCAGACGGATCCAGACACAAGCTGATAGCTCTGGATCAACCCATTTAATGGCCTAAGGGGAGGAAGGGATGGGACGGAGATCTGGCCAAAGATGGGGACTACAGCTGACTGACAGACTTGCGGTGATGTGATCCCTTATGTGCTAAGGCCTGTTCAGTGGTTTAAATTTAATTTACAAACCTGTATAAAGAATGACCCAGAAGTCGTTGCACCATTAGTGGTCAATGAGTTGGAATAACTTTGCGATGCTGCGCTTTTTTTTGACATAATGCTCATTTGAGAATAAGTCATTTCAGTCCTTAACTGTTATCTGACCCCCATTAGTTTGTAATTGGTAATATTTTACCTAAAATTTAAATAACAGAATACCTTGCACCTAATGGTGTTATGATAAAATATGTTGATTATTTTATGGCTATTTCAATTTAGGTCTTCCCTTCTGATGATAATATGGTCTATTCCCATTTGGTTATCATCACCACTAATTTTGTATCATTCATCTTATTTTTTCTGAATAAAAACTTCTTTTTGACGACTGTACGCAAAATGCCGATTTGTCTCAGCACAAAACTCAATAAGCCAGATTATTGTGCATTGATCATAATGGGTTCTGAATTATTCTCTACTTGCTGCCTGCTAAAAGCTGGCCAGCTCTCTTCTGCTCCGTTGGCTCCCAAAGCGTATAGTGCCAACAAAACGAGGACTGAAGGAAGAGGAATATGGCTCATGCTCATGCTAAGGAGCTTTCTGGGACTCTCTGCCCTCCCAGTCCAAGTCCTATTATCCAAAAAGCTCATTTTCCTTGGCTCCCACCAGCTGAAATGCGTGCAGCTAACATCTTGAATCACCGTTTGGGATCTGCTATACATGGAGAAGTTTCCACAGCAACACATTCTTGTTAGATCATCTCATATTTATACTGGAGGGCAGTAAAGTGGGTCTTAAGGAGCCTGGCAAAAACACTGGAAGGGGATTAAAGGGCATGGCTGCCCCTTACATCATCACAACTTCCTGTTGATGATTTCACAGGGCACTGAGGGAGCATGCCATACACACTCCTGCATACATTTGGACATGTACCTACACGTGCACATTAATGAGTTAATGAATGCCAGGACCAAGGACCAGCTGAGGACAAAATAAACACAATAAACTGCCTTCCTCCTGCTGACCTGTTCCACCTGGGGACTATTTGTGAGGACTAGCAGGGAGGACATTATTAGGAGCTGCCATGACAAGCAGGGCTTCAAAACCGCCACCTCTGAGAAAGTTAGAGCAATGATTTAGTACTTGGAGGATGGAGGCAGAGGACATGATGGAAAGAGGAGCTGTAATCTCTCCGTTGCTAGATGACCACAGTTCATAAATCTTAAACATTGCATAAGGGATTGTTTTCTCTCTCCTTTTGTGGGAGACCTGAGGTAGTACAGAATGTGACATAAGTGCAAACTGAGTACCGGTATGCGTCTCACCTGGTTGAACCTGCGAGTGAAGGCCACAACATTTGGAGCAGAGCTGTGCTTCTCCTTCTTGTTCCAGCCGCAGCTCGACAGCTCCTGAAAACACACAAACAATCAGGGAAATTGATATTACACACTGAACAACAGTACCTTTTTGTATAAGGCGCCGTTTAACTGAATGTATTAAATCATTCGGAGGTCACTGGGCGGGAAGTCGAGAGGAGGCAGAGAGCAGGATATGATGAGGAGAGAAAAGCAGATGAGGAGGAAGAGAGAGAGGAGGACAAGAAGCAGTCAAAGGCTCAGACAGTTTAATGGAAGACTGCAAAAACAAACAGATAAAACTCTGCAGGACCTCGCTCTGCCTCCTGTTCAAGCTCAGTACGCATTACTGATTAAAACTATTGCAATGTCAAATACATAAGCAAGCTGTGCACAGATTCCTGCTTAAGTGCAGTTTTGTGGAATAAGAAGTCAACCTCAAACATTCTGATGAATTGATGAATTGTTTAAAGGTTAAATGATTTGGCCGCTAGTGGCGCTACAGAGCAATGTGTTGATGAAGGAATCCTCCAATAGTTTGTATCTGGTAAAAGAGAAGACAAATGGCAAGCTGACAATCCACAACAATGTTGATTTAAAACTAATTTTAAAGGCTCTGAAAATATTTTAAGTGGCAGGAAATGCATTCATGAATGTTTGTTAGACCTTAAGGGCAGAATCATGGATCATCAAACACAATGCATTTCGATTGGACAACAATGACATTTACAGTATAGATCTACAAAATATAACAAAATAAGTGTCCAAATTTTCATTTCTACTGAAAAACCAATTAAAATCACAATGATGTTTTCTCACATCTGGAGAAGATTTGTAGGCCAGGGCTTCACTGCATCGCTACAGTACTTCCTAAAAAATTGCAGCCTCAACGATTTGGATATTGCATATTGAGATTTCCATTATATTTTGATTAACTGTGCAGCTATAGTTGTAATGTTGAACCTTACCTGCACGCCTCAGGGACCAGTACGCCCCCAGACACAAACTCTGAGACACTTCCCAGGAGGTCCACTAGGACCAAAACCTCACACCACAGGAACACCCCCCCATCTGCAGCTGGTCTCATCAACAAGTCCCAGGACCATCACTGACACCGACTGTTAAACCCACCACCCACCCTGAATCTATGAGTTACATTAATGCGCTTTGCTCGGTTTTTATCTTGCACGTTGCAATATCATTATACGTCACACTGCTAACTTGCAGAGTCCCCCAGACAATATTTTGCACATTACTGTACAGCTCTTCACTCATTTATTTAAGTATTCGGCCATATTGTCTCTTTTTTATATTTTTCTATATTGTCTCTTTTTATTGTCTCTATTTTTATCTTTATTTATATTTTTCTATGTTTAATTGTTATGCACAAACTTACCAAGGCAAATTCCTTGTATGTGAAAACCTACTTGGCAATAAACCTGACTCGGATTATGACTTGAGAAATGGCTTCAAAATTGGTATTCAGTGAGTGACTGAAACTGTCATTTATCAATTTTCTGTTGATCATCTATACAATTAATCATTTCCACACTTGCACTAATAGCAGTTTTACAAAGTAGCAGCAGCTGTGGAAGCAGCAGTGCTGTTAGTAATTTAAATATGCTGTTTTTGAAGGGTGGTGACTTTGAAACTTGAACAGTGAAAAATTCCAACAACACACAAACAGTCACGTCTTTCGGAGTACCAGGCTGACCTCAGTGATGAGGTAAAGACGCAGACCACACAGACACTGCAAAGGGGAACCCAGACCCTCCTTTGGCCCCCGCAGGCTGTCCAGAGGCCAGGGACACTGACGTAACAGTAGGAAAAATGTTGTGCAAGCTCTCCTCCTAATCCCTGCCAGCCCGGCCGACTTGGGCTACAATATGAACAGCTGAATCAGGCTGCAGCTCCCCCCACACACACGTACACACAAACACACAGTACTCCCCCTGTGAGACTGACTGTCTGGAAGCAACAATGTCTAGCAAACTGCTCACAACTCCCTGACCTGGACCCCATCAGGACAACGCACTTGCAAAGAGAAGCGTTGCTCAGTCAAGAGAGAATCTCTGAGTCGTTAGAGGCAGCCAGCGGGGGTAAAGATTCAACATATCAAATACAGATGTTAAAAGCAGACATTCATGCGTGGGCGAGGTGATGCCTCAGGGCCCATGTTTCCTGAGTCAAGATGAGGATATGAGGAAAGGAAAGAGGAGGACAATGGAGAGAAGATGAAGAGATAGTGTTAAGACTATAAAAGACAACACTGTAAAAGACCAAACAGCATCTTCCCACAAGGTTTACAAGCCTGTGTGGAGCCTCCTGAGAGCTGGAGCATGCTGTCATCATCACAGGATGGAGCTAAATCAGAGAGCAGGAGACACTAGCCTCTCTCACAGAGGAGGGCTCATCGTTTATTTAACATCTGTCCTTTTTTAAATAAGCGCTCCCCTCCTTCCTGCCATCGTGTCAATCATTCGCTTCTCCAGCTTCCACACAACTATGGAGATGGCTCTTAAACAAAGACGTTCCACAGTTGGCGGGAGGTGGGTGTGTTTGTGTGTCTCGCAGCTCGGACCACCACCTGACCACCCAGGTAGGCGGTACACCCGAGAGGAGGAACATAGGCGGTCCTACATCTCCCTTGTGCACCGAGACCACAACATTTCAACAACCTAAACTGACCCTTCAATGCTGGACCACCTGGGCCCTGTCTTCCAATCTAATGTGACCGTCTGTCTGTCCGTCCAGCTAAAGCTTAATGTTGAGGCTTGAAGTAATTTAAGCTCTATTGTTCTTCAGCCAACCAATGCCAGTGCCTCAAGTGTATTTCAGCAGCAGGGAACTGAGCCACAGACTCTCCAGAAACTAATAGGATTTTATTTTCTTTATTTATTTCTTGTGTCTTTATACTCTCATTTCACGCTGTCGCATTACGAACTGCAGGCAGCATTTAAAAAAAATAATAATAATTTGACAACAGTTGAGTCTTTGGAGAAATGCTTTGACGAGGTAGCTCCGGTAAGGAGGGGGTTTTAAATGCTGCAGTAAAAGCGCGTAGTAAAAAAAAGCCTGCTCCGCCAAACCACAGACAGCCTGTCATTTCCCCATGCTGGTCTGGCTGAGCAGCATTTTCATTAAAGCACAGTCCTATGGGGCGGCGTTAAGCTGGCTGTATCTTTACTGTTGGGTATGTATAGTTCACAAGAGGACTGAAAAACTGACGTCAACTCTGGCTGAACATTTAATTGACTTACAAGTTGCGATTGTTAACAAATAACAACTGATGGGGTGAAAGAGCGTTTTTATGGTAGGAAGATGTATTGGCAGAAAGGGAATATAATATCCATAACTACGTTTTCATTGGTGTATAATCACCTGAAGGAATCTTTAGTCTTTTATGTCTACAGACACCACAGGTTGCTTTCCACAGAGCCCGCCATTTATTTTTTTTGTGCCATGTCTCTAAAGAAGCCCAGAATGGACAAACAAAACACTGGCTCTAGATAGGGCCCTTGACAAAAGTACATTATGAGGAGTATTACGTTAACCATAGTACAGATTACATACTACAAATTGCGATGACCTCATGTGAGATACACCAGCAATTCCTTTTGTTTTTGTCTACTATGTAAATGGAAACCTGAAGAATTGGGATCGTAGGGAATATTAGGGAGATGCCACAGGCCAAGAGAGGAAAGGCTGATAAAGATGAGGAACAGGGTGTAAAAAGAAGGAAGATGAGGAGGAGAGGAAGTGAGACTGAGAAGGGAGGCTTGATGTAAGATGAGAGGAGATTGTGGAGATATACCGAGGATGACAGGAAGGAGTTCAATGGAAAACCTGCACGGTTGCGCCTGTTGCTGATCTGTACTTCAGCTTGTACTGAGACAGAGGAAACATAAACTGAATGCCAGGTTATGCCACATTTCTGGTGCCACTCATCTGAAGCTTTAAAAAACGGTAAAGCAAAGAAAGAGAACAAAAGGAGAAAAAAAAAAGAAAAAAGGGGGGAAAGAAGGTCGTAAAATGTATTGTTGTCTCAGTTCTAAAGTCTAGAGTCTGGTGGAGACGTACAAGCCAGGCGCAGCCTCCATTACCTTGCTGTGCACACCATGGAAAGAATTACTTTTCCGGGAGCTCTTTTAGTACATGTACTCTATGTGATTCTTATGTTAGGACAGGCCGTCTGTCTTGGCTAGTAAAACCAGACCAGGCATGTTCCTATATGAAAATTGCATAATGGATTTGCTAATAATTACTGTTATATTCTAAAAGTAAAACATAAATAAAAGCAGATGATGCAGTCTTCCACTCTTTATTGACATCTTAAATCTTAAAGTATTCCATTGGCAGCTTTAAAAAAAAATGGACAAAATCCTCTCCGACAAGGAAAATCTTGTCATTGTGGATTTTCTCTCTCTACTGCCAAAACATTAAGAAGAAATCACCTTTCACAATGATAAATGTTCATAGACCATCAGGCTGACAGGTTGTAGTGTGGGCGGGATTCCCTTCTGTTCTGTTGTATAGCAATTATTGTCCGATCCCTCCACCAGGAACAACATGTGCTGACTACAGGGCCCAACAAAGAGCTGTATGCAGCCTTTATTTACATCGCTTACAGTTGAGACTGTACGTCAGGGAACATGATATTTGAGTAAATGGTTTTGTTTTTCTTATCTCACAATCAGAGCTGGAAAACATTAAGCCTGCAGGCGAGACAGTATGTGAAATGTTACCTGCTTCCAGCTACAAGTCATCATCCTCTCATATGAGACCTTCAATCTGTTCAGAGGATTTCTGCACTGGGCGCTAACACATGTGAGGTACTGACATACTTCTTAGCGGTACGTAAAATGCAATCTGATAGCTATTCCCTGAGAGCTGGAGCGAAGCTTGCCAGCCAAAGCCACTAAATTACTTACTTGGCTGTTGTCATGACTGTGTGTTAAAAACAAAGGCGGCCCTCCCCCCACCGAAAAGCCCCTCTCAAGTCCTTCTACATCACTCAATCTCTCTTTTCCTCTCAGCCACTATTTCGTAAACATCCAGCTGTAGATCATCAGCCACACGTCTGATAATGAAATTAGAAATGGCCCACTGGGACAGAGCAACCGAGGGAGCAACGTTCTTTCATTTCATCACAATTCTCTACACCTCTTTCACTTCATTTTAATCTCTACATTTTGCTTGTCAGCTGATCCATCCATGCTATAGTAAGCTATCCAATCCAGTTCGCTCCTGATAAACAGAGCCAGCCAATGCTACAACCCACTAGTAATCACTGTCTCGTAAATTTAGATGAGAGAGAAAGATTTAGCTACAAGTCCCTTGCATCCCTTCCCCTCCTCCTTTCTATGATCCATCTTGTCATTTTAATGGCATTTCACTTCACAAACCAACAGCCAAAGAACATATCAGCAATTCAGCTGAGGGCTGTAGATTGAACATCAGTCTGCTCTGCACTATAGATTATTTTACCATCAGAAAAACACACAAAAAAAACAACTTCTGGTGTCCTCATCAATTATACCTGTACTCCAAACAGAACACAAGACCCTGGAAGCACTCTGATCCACAGCTCTTTGTCAATATCTCTTCCATTTTTTCAGGACCATGAGTATCCTGCTGACAAGGGTCCGTTTCGTGTAGGAAGTAAAGTACAGCAAAGCTCATGCATGGCAATGTCTTATGAGCTGTCACTTGCATATCATCAAAAGCAGATGTGTTTAGATTCAGTTTGTCTGCTGTGTCACAGCGGCATGCGCTCAGCTCTGAGCTTTTCGAACCTAGCTCTCTCGATGCCTTTCCAATATCAAAAGGGTTATTTAAAATACTGGCCTTTTCCTTTTAGTTTAAGTTTGAAAGAAAAGAGGATAGTGAACTATGCTTCCTGTCCAGAGGGGCTGGCCAGACTTTGTCTCCATCCCCAGTTGCCATGTAATCTTTTATTGCTATTGTGACAAACAATTATCTTTTATTCCTCGTCCAGAGGGCTTGGTGAGATCTTTCGGGCTCCTCTCCATACATCTGCTCCATGTCAACGTTGGAACACTTGAGTTAATGAGATCCTCTGTTCTACTGCAGTCCTGTCTGTGGCAATTTTTCTAGCTGATGCCAGAACGTCTGTTTACGCATCATATACACATGTAAAAATGTTGTAAACAAGAGTGTGCATAACAGCGTTTGGATGCTCAGTCTCTCTCTGTGGCACTCTCTTTCTCTCACACTCCCTCACATTATATTAAGATAGTTATGATGTGTTTATGGTGAGGGGAAAATAAAAAATCTTAATACACACACACACACAAACAGGCCAAGTTATAGTTTATGGTCATTCCAACTATTTCAAGTAGCTGCAATTACGGAAATGACCGCAGCTTTGGAAGTACGGCAAAAACATGACAGACTGCTGATACAGAATTTAAGACATCCAGGACAAGTTTAGTTTATCTACAATAACTAAGTTGTAAGGGCACTCTATAAAAACAATTTTTAATCTGTACGACCGCAGACCAGCAACACTTGGAACCAATTCGATGGAAAATTTGATTCGTCTATTGTTTGTTATCGAAAAATCAAAATATGTCAGCTTGAAACCTTCTGAAGAACATCTGGACGTGTCCAAGTTCAGTAATGCATGAAACTCTACTTAAGATATCATATTCAGTTGAGGGTTGATTACCTCACAACTATTCTAACAAATGATAATACATCCATCATGGAAACTAACACTGTGTCTTCTTTCCACTCTAGAAAATGAAAATATTTGTTTTAACCACAATGATCCATTACTGTTTCCTATCTACCGTATATCTGTGTACATGTAGATTTCAGTTTGTAACATGGCATTTAAAGGGTGCTTAAAAGGCTAAAATGGGCTGTATGTCAGTAAAAACATGATTGCACAACTCAAGTTATTTAATATTTTCCTATTCAGGCTGTGAGCCGGGTGAAACAGCAGACACACACACACACACACACACACACACACACACACACACACACACACACACACCTGCTTTTCCCATCTTGAGGCTGCAAGGAGGGCGAGGGGAGACTGACAGCAGTGGAAACTCTAGTTGAGTTTTAGTTCAGTCATAGCTTTTTTTTTTTTTGCCAGTGCTGGGAGACAAAAAGCACAGTGAGAGCAGGAAAAGCCTCTCTAGTCCACTCTGTCCCTGCCAGGATGCTGCTGGGTTACTCTGCACACTGTTCACTCTGCTCCTTCTCTCCCTCCAGACTGCAGCCTTCCTCTCCTAGTCAGTCATCCCCTTCAAATCAGGCCAGCGACTCCTCTTCACTTGCTCACACCCCCGAGCCCTCCACATCGCTCTTCATTTCCACTACAGGTCTCTCCAAAAAACAAATCCCACCATCTTAAAGCAAAAAGTATAATCACATCCCTGTGCACCTGACACTTTAAATCTTCACCCAGGGCCAATATTTTGCCAATTTGCTACACTGGACTGAAAAGCAGGGACGCATTTTCATTAGGCTTATAAAACCCACTCAGTCGGTCAGTCTGTCAAACCAGAGCGAGCACAGGAGCATGCTTGCATTCATACAGCCTTCAGTAGCCTATGAGTGAGCTTGGCCCCGTGCAGTTAAGGCGGTGGGGCTAGAGTCCAGACGACGTCAATGACGTCTGGATAAAGGAACAGCAATACTCAAAAGACAAGCCTTGAGAAAAGTTACTCAGGAACTTTATTCTTTAGTCTTTTCCACCACTCAGACACAGCAAACTATTTACGCTAAACTCCGACATTATTATCAAAATTAAATAAAGACAGGGATCTGGGATGGATCTTATGCCAGAGGAGTGTGTGTGCTGTTAGCCGAGACTGAGACAAGTGTATGTGCAAGAGCAGGAGTCAGACTGTACCAACACCACCACACTGGGTTGTGTGGTCTGAATGCTGCTTTTATAAGCCCACAGTGGCTGACCTTAAACACAGGTTATCCATGACTGCTGTCAGGAAGGGCCTAACAATCCAAACGAGCATAAGATTGCACCGGATCTCACTGAGGCAACAGGCAAGGTGTCCAAGACTGGGTGAGACATAGATGCCCTATTTCCGCATATATGTAGCTCTGCATTGGAGGTCTGATCACAGCTAATCAGAGCACAGCATGGTACAGGGATATCAACCACATGGAAATTATGCAAGGGAAAAATTAGAAAGACAGGGACATAGGGAGAAATACAGCAGATGAAATGTACACTCTCCCCACCTTCCAAATTAACAACATGTTTGATAGCGGTAACAAACTTCACACCCTTGCTTTATTTCTCACAGTATATGTCAAAAATGACAGCCAAAAAAGCCGTCAACACCTCTCTTCTCTCCACTGATCTGATAGCAGCTCACCTCTGGCTGGATGGCTTTGAACACAGGAGCATCCATGAGCGTAATCTGGCCCTGGAGGAGACAAAACACAACAGATGTTAGACTTGCTATGTTCAGACCGCAATAAACAAAAAAAACAATATATTATTAGATATTATTTCCCAATATCATGATGCCATATAGGAAAATCATAAATTGTCTAATCTAAAGGTCAATAAACTATTAATTTAATAATTAAAACACTTTTGCTATAGAGGCTACACCCTCACAAGTAGGAGGCTGTGAGGGTGTAAAAAGTGGCCTTTTGCTTTACATGTCTTGATGTACCAGGGAGAGATGTGACACAAAGACAGTTGTGGGGGGAAAAGAAGATCAAGAGCGCCCTCTTGTGGTTGAATGGGGCAGACCAAGGGACAAACATCAAAGCATTCAAATAAGATTCAAGACATGGTGAGGAACATGCTTTTATTTGATTTATTATAGGACAATCCTGAGTAACATTATCCCTCACAACAAGGTAAGGCTAATTCCACTTAAATGGGACTCCTACTTTGTTCATAGTTGCCATGAGAAGTGCAGAGGCAGCCCAGGGGAAATCCATCAGTGCCATCTTGGCACTGCCAAACATCATCAATTATTAGTGATCCAAACTCTGACCCCATTTCCTCCTCTCTCATCCCATCTCCTCCTCTTTCGAGTGAGCACATCGCATTTGTGCTTGCTGAACATTTAATTTTTTAAACACTCAAACATACAGGTTAACCAGACAACGACAGACAGAGAAAGAAACACTTAAAATTTCGCTTACTGCATATTCTTCAGGGGTAACCTTCAGTACATCAAACACAACAGCATCAAAACTCTTCTTCAGGTCCGAAGAACCCTTATCACTGAGAGATTCTGAGCTGCTGCTCTTCTAGAAGACAAACACACACAGTTGCATTAAGAACAAGGTTATCAAGTGGATGAGAGAGGTGAGGGTGAGAGGGTTAAATAACCAGTCGTGTTGACTGGTAGCACAGCTAAGAATCACTAAAAAAAATTGTTGACTGAATATTCGAAGCAGAAAAAAAAACACTTGACTACATCCTGTCACAATATAATCAAACACTAAAGCTTCCAGTATGAAAAAGTGCTGGAAGAAGAGTGTACAAGATGAACTTTGAATAGAGAGGGTGGAGGTCTAGCGAGTGGGCGTGGCCTTACCTCAGAGACTGTTGCAGCAGTGGTGGTGATGCTTGATTGACCATTAGGGAGGTCCATCATTCCCACACCATCCAGCTCTATCGCAAGAGACCATTCATCATCCTCAGCAAAGCCCGCCCGCCCTCTGAACACACACACACACACACACACACACACACACACACACACACACACACACACACACACACACACACACACACACACACACACACACACACACACACACACACACACACACACACACACACACACACACACAGTACATTTTGCTTACATATTGAACATTATCACCGGCAAACATAGCAGACAGATCACTCAGCTTGTGGCAGCAGCACCACCTACTGGTTGAAATGTGTTAGCTGAAGTATTCTCAGGTTCATCTTAAAGGTTACTGCAACTACTGAGCTGCATTCAACCTCACAGAATTAGCTATGACTGAACTTGAGATGGTGGCGAAAGTGATGACAGGTTCAGCGACGGTCCCAGCGGGCCTGTGAATGCCATATGGACGTGCACTTTCACAACCTGTCATTTACTATGCGAGAGAGGACAGGACAGAAGGAGCTTAGGCCGAGCATTAGGAAGAAATCTTCTGTGAAAGGGGTTTGGAGAAAGCAGCTGTCGGTCAGAGCCACAAGACTAAACAGCTTACATCCAACACAAGATTATGACCCACTGCTGCTCAATGACCGGACTATTAAACACTTAACTGGCTACCGGAGCAGAATGTGTTCATCCTGAAATTCAACAGGCCCTCTCACTCAGATTTCAACCGCTAACAAGATTTTCAGAGAAGCAAACTGGCTGCTGGAGTAAACAGACCTATCAGGAAAAACAAGGTTTATTCACATGTGTCTTGGTTAGTCTTGTGTTCTCCTTCCAAAAACCTGAGTACCAAGTGTTAAAGTGGATTGGTTGATGCTGAGCATCTGAGTCATTCATGCAACTGTCAGTATCAATATGTGAATGTGAATGACTCATACACAACACAAGCTACAACAGCCCAAAGTCTTAAAACTGTTTTCTTTCTTTTCCCAAAGGTCAAAAACACAAAAAGGAATTCAAAGCTGTAACTAGCAAATAATGGTTGTTTGTTTTCTTGATAAATGAATTAAATGATTAAATCAATTCTGAACACTGTCTCAATTTTTTTTTCTCTGGGAATTAAATAATCAATAAGTAGTCTCAGCATGAGCATCAATTACTGAATGTAGCACATGTATTTTCATTGTCTTCTTTAATTGATTGTAAAAAATCTCACCTCTGACATTTAAGTATCGAAAATACAATTTCTGTATCTGTGTACCTCTGTTAATATCCCAATCTGACTCTACCTATGACTGTTGATTTTACGTACCATAAATGTAAGAATGGAGGCTCATTAAGGATGATATTTTAATACTCTTGATATATTTTAATATTCCTGAATATTCTTCCTGCCCATGGCTGAAAATACCTCAGAGACTACACACAGAGACAGTAATGAAAAAAAGAAGCTGCTTAGAATCCTGAATGGCAGCAAAGGCATCCCTTGTGTACTTGACAATGCAGGCCTCTGTGTGTGAGTGTGTGTGTGTGTGTGTGTGTGTGTGTGTGTGTGTGTGTGTGTGTGTGTGTGTGTGTGTGTGTGTGTGTGTGTGTGTGTGTGTGTGTGTGTGTGTGAGCGCTGGTCTGTCTTTTTGGCTGCCTCAAGACTCAAGCTGAAATGGCCTGTGCTTTAAGAGCCATTAGCTGCCTTCCACAGTTGCATTCTGTTAAGCCTAGAGCAAACACCACTACATCATGTCAACTCTCCTCGCATCGTTTGTGACAGCAGTGCGTAATTGCACAGGAAGCAACAGCCAGTCTGTATTTATAATTCTGAGTCTGCCTGTTGGAAAACATCTGTAATTACCCTACTTCCTGGTCTAATACCTATGTGGTTCTTGTCTTTTTGTCTGAGGCTCCAGGATAATGATGTAAAATATTACTTGGGAGTTTTGTCTACAGTTAGCGCACACACACACAGTCTTTTTAAATTCAATGCTGTGATAAACGTGAACAGATTGTAAGATGTGCATATAAGACATCATTTCCATTAAAAAATAAACACTCAAAGATATCTTCAACTCAACTTTACTATCAAAGTTGTTCAGTTTGCCATACATCAGTTAATATAGTTTGTTGGACTCCTATGTATCTAACAAAGTAAGCAAAGTACAGTCATAACTGTTTCTTTAACTGTGATATACCCAGCTGTAATTATATGCTAAAAATTCAAATATCTTTTAGTATACAACCCTGCAGGCACACCTGTACTGCCAGCGCACCTCCAAAAACAAGCTGTCCTTGGAAAGACAAGGCCACACTTACCAGTTGTGTGTCAGATGCGCATAGTGTTGGACGTGAGGTTAGCCTGTTGCTCTGTATTGCTGTGTTTGTCTATCGAGTCCCGTCTTTCTCTGAGGCTGGCTCCTGCGGTCTGTGTGAAAGTGAAAAGAACAAAAGAGAGAGAAGAGGGAGAGACGGAGAAGAAGGCAGCATGATTCTTCTGAACATGAGGAAAACCCACGCACCCATAACAAGTGAACATAGCCAAAAATCAAATAGCTGATCTGATTTGCGGATGTGCTTAACAAACCATCAGTCATTACATTGACAAGAGCCGTAGCGTCTGTTCTACTTTTCTGTCAGTTTTAGCAACAATGAGCTCAGTGCAGAAACAAATGGAGGTGACAGTTTGACAGAAGCAACCTTAAACACATTTTCAGCAAACCTTCCTTCACAGATGTGACCGTTAGAACACCCGAGCATCTCAACTGATACCCAGAGAGCTGGTACTACAACATATTATATATTATATAACTCAGTTGTCCAGTATTACTTATCCTTATTGCTCACCTGATTCAAAAATACAGTAATCACATTTTATTTACACCTACTTCAACCAATCAGGGACAAGGACAACAAGTCTAGGCCTGCAGGGTAAATTATTATGATCATTATTGATTAATCTGCTTAAGTAATCAGTTAATCATTTGGTCAATAAAAGAAAGTAGTGAAATCCTTAATGGTCATGGCGACGTCTTTGAATCGGTTTTGTCCAACTAATGGGGCATTGATTTAGTTTACTATCACATAAGACAAAGAAAAGCAGCACAACTGAGAAGCTAGAACCAGTTAATTTAGGAAATTATGCTTAAGAAATGACAATTAATTGATGTTCAAAATTTATTTTCTGTCATTCGAAAAATCCATGAAATCATTAAGTTGTTTCAGCTCTACTTGAGTGCAATATAAATCTGAAACCTGAACTCCAAACTCCACTGGCATTGTCAAACAGCACAAGTACAACTCTGTAAGCCAATCAACAAGAGAGCATGAGCAACCAGTGTGCTGATTTTTATAATAATCATAAAAAGGGTTTATTTTATTATTATTATTATTATTATTATTTCACTTGAAATGACATGACCTCCATTAGCCAGTAGGTGTCTCCCTACTCTAAGAGATAGCGTGTGATGGACTGTGTGGGACTCTGGCTGGCTGTAGACAAAGTGCAGCTTGCTGGCAGACAGTAGTTGGCCTTTAGCCATCAGGTAGGGGGCTAAGATCTTGTCATCCCCTCCAGGTTGTTATCATGCTGGATAGCGGGGCAAAGCTCAAAAGCAGAACAAACAGTGGATTAAGATTTCCACTATCCAAAGTAAACTTTAAGCCTTCGCTGACACAAGCCTATACATTCCTTCAAAGATCACATCAGACCAACAAAACACCAGCCTAGAGCTTCACTTGTTGTACAACAGTCCTGCAACGCATGTTTCTACTAGGAATATAAAAGCTCTTTGTACACAAACCTAACAGGGACCATCTTCCCATCTTATAGTCTGTGTGTCATTGTCACAACTGTCTACACACCCTGAGCAGTTCAAACACCCCCTGGCAAACAGCCTGTTTGTGCTCGTCTGCCGTCAATCAGTTTGCCCTCTGAGCTTCCTTGTCAGTCATGATCCTAACCATCCTGGACTAGTTTACATCTCATTACCTTACAGCTCCTTACGACGCCCACGCCTCCAGCTATGCTACTTCAAAAAAAACACAGAGAGAGACAACACCCCCTCTTTCTGAGTCACTGCCATCCCCATCCAATCCTCACTAGCCAGAGCTCCTGATAGAAGAGCAACCCACCCTCCTTCCCTCCCTCCGTCTGCTCTTGGCAACATCCATGCACCTCTAACAGCGAGCTGAGATGAAATGTGTTGGGTTATGGTGACATAATTCCATGTGGTGGAGTCCTCATGCATCGCTTCGTTCGGGTCCAGGGTATGTTTATATGCCCATACTCATGTCAGCAGTGATAAGGTATAGGTGTGTGTTAGGGAAGGCTGAGAATGTTAGTACGGGCTTACAATGTTTCGGCATCACTGGGATCAGACTTCAGGAGGACATGACAGGGATTAGAGGAGGAAGCAGAGAATAACAGAGGAAGAGTGACCGAAAGTGGAATGATTCATGTTGGAGCTTGTAGCCGAGGATGTGTCGCTGGTTAAGCTAAATGTGACTCATTACACTGCGTGGCAGGTGCTGTTGAATCAGTCCTCTCCCTCCTCCCTCTATTAGTGTTACCCGACAGCTTGACATCCACATACACAGCAGTTCAAACACAAAAAGGCGCTGGCAGCCTAACAGGCCTTGTTACTGAAGGGTACAATGTGAAGTGTTTTTTTGTGTGTCGTCATGCACGTGCCGGCGTATTTGTGCATGTGACAACGCAGTCCTCATCCTGCACTGACCCTTTACATTCCTGTCTCCAGTGGTCCTGAAAACAGGTCTCCACCACCTCCATTCGGCATGTCCTCTGTCCTCCTTTACGCTGCTCATCTCCTGTCCTTTCCCTCCTCACCTCATTTTATAGCAGAGGTATCCGTCTTTAAACTGTGGAAGTCTGTTTGTAATCGTGGACGGTAAGGATATTTTCCAAGAGGTAAACAAATCAAATCAAAGAGTATATAATATACTGCATATGTTATTTGTGGAGATGGGGGGGGGGGTATTATTTTTATAATCTGCTTTTCTTTGTAATCACTAAATCAAGCAAATAATTAGCTGATTATTTGATAATAACTGTTGTAGTACTACTAATACTACCAATACCATCATAAAAACATTTGAGAAACAGGTGAGACAGACTAAACACTATCTGCATGGATTAGTAAATTACCAAGGAGAATGGCAAATATTTATAGGAATATTTATTCCATCCAAAATGGTATAATATGACTTTATTGGTGGTAATACACTAGTAAAAATGCTTTCCCATTACCTTTGTCTTTACTACAGTTGTTCCGGTATCTGTATTAGAAATTCCTCAGATACTGCCTAAAATGTGGTATCTACAAGAACGCCTGTCTGTACAACAATTTGATATAATGTAATTTATTAGTCACAAAACAGGGTCCTGCTACATCTGAGCACCCTCCCATTAGCCTTTTTTCCCGGGATAGCTAAGTATCAGCCTGCCCTATTCTGACTGACAAGGGGTTTAACCTGAGCCAGAACAATGATGATAATCATACAGGCTCAGTAGTATAGGCTTGTTAAAATATTTAATGTATATCTACTTTGTAATGCACATGTATCAGATCGGCACTTGGTACTGGCCGATACACGGTATCGGTAAGGAACATTTTTTAACAGAACTCTCTTTTCTCCATCAAGATATGTGACAGCAGCTGGGATGCAAGATGTATTATGACACTTTCATAATTTATTATTCTGTGGTAGCCATAACAAAACTGTGGCAGTGCATCACAGATGGCCCTATAAAGTGGAAACACGGCAAGAACCTGGCATTCAAAGACACAGCGCACCAGACTGCTCCAAGCCTTAATCTCATTTACTTTTGTATACATACTTCTTCCATCTCTGTCCCACCACAAGGCACAAGCTACCACACGAACATACACATACATAAAGGATTAGTGTGCGTTTAGTGTGTGTGAGAGAAGGACCAAGCTTGTGTGTGTGTGTAGGTAGGTACAGAATTGTACCTAAAGTGAGATCAGGGCACAAGAGGTGAGACTGCGAATGAAGGATCAGACATGTGACATTTGTGTAACGTTCAGCATTAACAGAGTGCTGTGTGACTGCAACGGCTTTGACAACTTTGCCAGCCCCTGCCTGCAGCACTGCAGGCCTGTCTTTGACACATAGCAGCCCTGCAGGCCTCGCTTCTCAATCTGCTCCCACTGTGTGTGAGACCACCACAAATCTCCTTCTACCTTACGCTCCCAGTAAGACTCATAATTATGAACACAGTACTGGAGTCCTGGCATTCTCGCTGCTCAATCCTTTGATAGAGGAGTAAACATTTTTGCTCCACTTTGCTTTATGATAATAAAAAAAAAGGACCTTCTCTCTGTCACTGTCTGTATAATGCATGCACTGTACAGGCACGTGCTTTCTGCCTAGCAGTGACAGGGTTTTTGATGCATTTGAAAAGCATGCCGCAGATGCACCAAAGTCAGGGAGGCAAAGTAGGTCAGTGTGTTGAGCTGAGCAGTGAGGGATGTGGCAGCCCATTAAGCTGTGCCCTCCTCTGCCTCTCTTTAATACACATAGTACACACACAATCAGGGCATTCACACTGTTAGGAGCTGTGGGCCTCCAAAGTCAAAGCTGTTATCTTTCAGGCAAATTATCTTTCATATTTTAGTCGGCCTCATTGTCACATGAAGGGGACACACCGCACTGGGCTAAACCTGTAAACAAGTTAGGACTTAACCCACTTTAGCATCATGTTTTTAAAACATTTCCAAGCAGGATTTGCGTTCAAGATATGAAATGTGGGGTTTCTCCAATGATCTATCTTGCCCTGTTTTACAGAAACATAAAGAAGAGCCTTACTTCCAACTTTGATTATATCTGAGCCTGTTAATCACCACAGAGCTAGCCACTGGTGTTTTAGTAATGCTATGGCATCGAAGACCAGATCGAGGTTCTCGCTTTCCCTGGGCTCTAGTCAAGCCTTCCGGGGAGAACACTATTGATCTGGAGCTAAGAGGGGCTGGATTGATCACACATACTCTCTAATAACCTGCACGTACACACAGTAACACAGCATGTGGCTGCATGTCACAGCAGTTCGATATACACTCCTTTCACTCAGCAGGTTGGCTGTTCAAGCAGAGGCTGGTGACACTGCCTGCAGAGGGACAACGGTGGGTGTGCCTGTGTGTGTGTGTGTTGCTGTGAAGGGAACATGTCTAATGGCCCCTTCACACCGCCACTTAACATGCCGCTGATGTTCAGATCCTTCTGGAGGTCAATAAGTGGAGAGAGGCAGCACCATGGTCGTTTGAACCATAAGATTAAATTAAAAGGCTTATTGTTCCTCAAGAATTTCTCTTCAGTATTATGACTTATTGTTATTTTCTTTGTTGTTAGCTAAACTCAACCATGGGAAGTTGAATCACACACTTC